AATCGGGATGGGAGTGTCAGAGACAGTGCGATTGGCACAGGACAGAGCAGAGTTTAGGGCTGTTGTACATAGGGTCGCTATGAGTCACAAGCGACTCGACGGCACATAACAACAACAACCTTTGACTTGACAGCATAACTTTCTATCCACCAGGCCCACAGAGCTTTCTCTATAACTCTTTATTAACATCAAAATCTTTTTCATGGTTTAGATTTTGGGAATTTGTTTTGTTTTCAAGCTCCCCTTGAAGGGAGGTTTTGAAATTTCATAATTACGTTTTGTTTTGTTTTGTTTTGTTTTGTTTTGTTTTGTCTATCGTAGGCGTGCTCATCCCCCAACCACGCTTAGCTCAGTAATTCATAGTTGCTTCTTTCCAGACTGAACACACAATACGAGATCATAATTAGTCATGCTAATCAATGGTAATCAATTGCAAAATAAAATTTCTATACATGCGTGAAAAGGCAGTATGATTTGTAAACTTTTACTCACATTAAAAAAGGATAAAATTATACAAGCTACTTTCTCAATCAATGGAATAAAGCTAAAAATCAACAGAAACAAACACAATTAAACCAGATTATTATTAATACATCAAGTCTTAGTGTTTAAATAAAACCTTGATAATGCATAAATTTATCAGTTATTTTCCTTTTCATTTTGTGTATTTACTTCCTTGAGTAGAAATATAAGCAGGGCAAAATCAGTGGAAAATTTATTTGGTAGGTTGCACCCAACTCTTCTCTTTATTTTTTTTCCAACCCTTCTCTTAAAGAACCCACCTGCTTCCCCCACTCCCAGCTGAGCAACAAGGCTGTAAGGATGCAAGTTTTTGATGTCTGCCATTGAGTCATAACCCAGTCATAGCTTATCTTCCAGTAGGTTTTCAGAAGCTATAATTATGCAGGAGGAGTTGCCCGTCTTTCTCCCTCAGAGCAGCTGATAGATTCAAATCACTTGCCTTTTGGATTGGCAGCTCAACTCTTATCACCAAGCCACCAGTTGCATGAGACTTCAAAAATAAGTTTATTTCAACTACAGTAACTTCTTTCAACTTGGTTCTCTTCACTTCTCAACACTTCTCCCTCTGGATATAGTATAGAATAAATCCACGTGGGAGTCTTTATACCATGAGCCTTCAGGACATAGAACTCCAAAGAATGAGCTTCTTAGGGTCTTCCCAGGGTCAGGATAGTGGTGGACATCTAAGATTATCTTGGTGAACATTGTGGAAAAAATGGGTCACAACATGAGAGCCTGTACTCCAACACTTCCCTCCTCTCTTTCACTCTGGTTCATACTCAGGTCCCCAGAGCTCATCCGTGGTTGCTTTTCCAGCATATGCCCAATTTTAACTTAATCCTCTTCCTAACTTCAAAGATCCCCCATCTTGTGTGGAGCAGGTAAGCCTAAGAGCCTTAGATGAGTAATGAATGCCTTTTTCACCCCTGTCCTCCACCAGACAGTTTCTATAATTGATAGAGCAATCTGTACCTGCGATCATTCAGATTTGAAAGTGCCGCATGAAAGCTTTCTTAGATGTCTCCATGACACATCTATAACCTCTTCCTAACACCAACAGTGTGATAGGGCCCTTCTTGGTGTCCATCTCATACTGTTGAGGGCATGCTCTTGGCCTTGACAGCAAACTCTAACTTACCATCACTTCTGAATTTCTATGTGCCACAGGAAAAAAATTTTTAAAGCAGATTTAGACAGGATTTACAGGTAGGAGATTTATGACAGAGTACTCTAAGGACCAAAGCTTATGATAGGGGAAGGGAGTTAAGGAAATAAAACTCAGCACAAACAGAGGTTGTTTGTGCTACATCATCTGATCTTACTGAGCACTCAGAATTGGGGTAATCACAGACTGGGGCAAGGTGTTATTTAAAAGAAAAGTCTACGAATATTTGTGTGAAAAACCTTATCCTTTATAAGCCATCACTCACATAAAAAATGTTTTTAAAAAATAAAACTATGTCTTTTCTCTGACCACAGTGGAATAAAGCTGAAAATTAAGAGCAGAAAAAAAAAAAAAACAACCCATGAAACAACAAAAATGGTAGACCAATCAGATTATTATAAAATACTTCAAGTCTTGGTGTTTAAATCAAGTCTTGAGAAGGTATAATTTTATCTGGCTTTTTTCTTTTAATTTTGTGTATTTGCTTTCTTAAATAGAAATGTAAGCAGGGCAAAATCAGTGGAAAGTTTCAGGTCCTATTGATTAGTTTTGAGCGAAGTGGCTCTCTTCAGCCAGTCAGTTCCTATAGAGAGGTGGAATTAAGAGTTATCTGCAGACTCCTCCAGCATTCAAGGGGACGATAACTTTTGTCTATGTCTTCTTTGTGTAACACCATAGTTTTTAGTAACCTCGGGGGGTTTGTAACCTCAACAGCTTTTTTTGTTAGTTTGTTTATTTCTTTGGTTTTATAGTGTTTTATGGTAGGCTCAGCCTTTCTTGCTTATTGCTCACATTCAGCATGCATTTGTTGTATTGAATCGACAGTAATCTGATTTAACTGCTTAGAGCATGATTTTTATTTTTTTAGTAAACGCATTTATTTCTCCTCCAGTCAAACTATGTCATTGGCAAATCCAAAATCCCAAACCAGGAAATCAGCATCCGCAGACATCAATTTAGTCCTGTCCTCCACCAAGGGAACACCTTCCCAGGAGTTTCCTCAGAGCTCCCATGACTTCCTTATTCCTCAGACTGTATATGAGAGGATTGAGCATAGGCGTGATCATGGTGTAGAAGGCAGAGACCACCTTGTCCTGCTTGGAGGAGTGGTAGGCCTGGGGTCGCATGTAGGTGATCATGGCAGCTCCATAGAAGAGAGAGACAACCGCCATGTGGGAGGAGCAGGTAGTAAAGGCCTTCTGCCGGCCTTCGGCAGAGCGCATTCGGAGTACTGCCACGAGAATGCGCAGGTAGGAGGCAGAGATCACAGAGAAGGGCAGAAGCAGCATGAGGACACAGCAGACATAGATCATGGTCTCATACAGGGAGGTGTCAGCACAGGCCAGCTTGAGCACAGCAGGAACTTCACAGAAGAAATGGTCGATCTCCTGGGAGCCACAGTAGGGAAAGCGGAGGGTGAAAACAGCTTGGATAAGCCCGTCTACCAGCCCAAAAAGCCAAGACCCTGCCACCATGAGCCAGCAGACTCGGCGGCTCATGACTACCGAGTACCTCAGGGGGTTGCTGATGGCCACGTAGCGGTCGTAGGCCATGAAGGCCAGCAGGAAGCACTCATCCCCCAGGAGGGTGAGGAAGAAGAGGATCTGGAGCCCACAACCTGTGAAGGAGATGGAGCCACCACCCAGGAGGAAGTCCACAGCCATTCGCGGCACAATGGTGGAGATGAGCATGAGATCCATGAGCGACAGCCAGCTAAGAAAGAAGTACATGGGGCTGTGGAGACGTGAATCCACATTGATGAGAAGGATCATGAGGCCATTGCCAGACAAGGCCACCAGAAACATGACCATGATGACGGAGAAGAGGAAAAAGTGCAGTGGCGAGTGAGTGAAGAGGCCCAGGAGGACGAAGTGGTGGATCAGAGTCTGGTTTCCTGCCCAAGCCATTTGTTCTGCAGAAGGTTGTGCCAAGGGAAAGTTGGGATCTAAAAGCAGAAGGTTTCCGTTTAGTGCTGTAATATTAAAGACATTATAACTTTACCTGATAGATTTCCCTCTTTAGATGCTACTTGATTTAGAATAAAAAGGCTTGACCTTTTTATGGGGGAAGAGGAAGGAAAGGAACTCTAGCAAAAATGCATACTGCTTTTTTCTTTTAATGTCAATGACTTTCTAGACATAGCTGAAAGGGGAATCTTGAACTACTTACTGTTAAAGTGGGCAATTGCATCTGCTAAGATTTCTATTCTCCAGACCTTACAGTGGCATCTCTCACAAAGTTAGACCAATCTTACTTCAGGATTTACTTTTAAAGGAAAAAAATATGGACTCAACAACTAATTTACCAGCTATGTAAATTGGACACCCCTTCTGATGTTCTGAAAGAAGTAATAATTATCCTCATTTCACAAGTTAAGAAACTGAGATGAAGATTTTTAAAGCAATTATTAAACAGAATTTTTATTGTTGATTTAGCAGTAATTAATGCTATAAAACAAAAGTTCTATAAATCATTGTATGAAAAACCAATCATTTGCAAACATTTGCTGAAATTTTTTAAATTAAATAATAAAAAAGAAATGTTAAAAAATCATGAACCGAGGTTCTTTTTATATTTAAGTGAAAGATGGAAATCATATTGGTTTTTCTTTCAATAATTAGTATGCATTTGGCTTTATAACAATATTTATAATGGAATGCACAGCTGGTGGATCTGAAACGGCAGCACAGCTTCTTATCATTAGGCCATCAGAGCTCTCTCTGATATTCATATGTTGTCTTGTGAGATATTTAATACTCTTTGTCATCACCACAATTCAAAGACATTAATAATTCTTCAGTCTTTCTTGTTCATTGTCCAACTTTCAGATGCATAGGAAGTATGTGATAATAACCTGGCTTGTATCATATTTTATTATTATTTTTTAATTATGTATAATAAAAGACATCATACTTGGAAGGGTGAAAAGACAGCACATGAGAGGGAGACCCAGGATGAGACGGATTGACATAGTAACTGGGAAAATGGCATAGGTTGTGTCGGAGGCAGTGAGATTGTCTCAGAATAGGGTAGGCTTCAGAGCTCCTGTGCATAGGGTAACTATGAGTCACAGTCTACCCCAAGGCACATAACAACAACAACGTTACTTTATTATGTGAGTGTCCCACAGTTTATTTAGCCATCTGTCCATTACTGGGCACTTAAATAGTTTCCAACTCTTTGCTTGTAAATAACGCTGCAATAAGCAAGGATGTGAGTATGTCAGTTCATGTTGCAGCTCTTTTCTATTGGGCTATATACCTAGTAGTAATGGGATTGCTGGATCAAATGATATTTCTTACCCCAACTTTCTATGAAAGTCCAATGTGCTTTTCAGGGTGGTTGCACCATTCCCGTTATCAGTATATGAGACTTTTAATTTCTCTACATTTTTTTTTTCAAAGAGGCTAGGCTTACATTTTCCAGTCTCAGTAGCTTGAGGATAACTAAAAGGCATCCTTAACATTCAGGTTATAAGAGCTGTGATGTTTTTGTTTGTTTGTTGCATGCTATCAAGTTGGCTCCAATTTATAACAACTCCATGTACAACAGAACAAAACTCTGCAGTAATTTGTGCTATCTTCACAATTTGCTGTGCTTGAGGACATTGTTGCAGTCACTATGTCAATCTAGCCCCTTAAGAGTCTTCCTCTGGGTTTTTATTTGTGGGGTTTTGTTTTGTTTTTGTTTGTTTTGCTTACCTTCCACTTTTCTAAGCATGATATCCTTCTCTAAGGTGACCTCTCTTGATAACATGCTGACACTATGTAAGAAAATGTCTACCATCGTTGCTTCTAAGGAGCACTCTGCATTTTTCTCTAAACCAGATTTGTGTTTTGGCAGTCCATATTCCAGACTCTTCACCAACACCACAGTTTAGCATTTAAAGGTTTCAGTTCTTCTTTGGTCTTCCTTATCCAGTGTCTAATGTTCATGTGCATATATAGCAATTGAAAACAGCACGGTTGTAGGTCAGACATACGTTAAAGCATTAAACCAACATTCTTGCTCTTTAACACCCTAAGGTGGTCCTTGACAGCTGATTTACTCAATGCAATCCATTGGTTGGTTGGTTGTTTATTGCTGCTTCCATGGGTTTTGGCTGTGGATCCAAGTAAAATTAAGTCTTTGACAACTTCAATCTTTCTTTCTTTTTATCGTGATGTTATTTATAGGTACACTTGCAAGAATATTTGCTTTCTTTATGTTGAGCTTATAACCTCTGCATATTGCAGATTGTTTATGAGTCTTAATCCAGTCCTGATGCCACATTCTTCTTCATATAGTTCAGCTTCATAGATTATTTTCTCAGATTGAACATTGTTGTTGTTGTTGTTGCTATGTGCCATCAAGTCACTTATAAAGTATAGCATCTCTAACACTTCCCTATCCTGAGCCAGTATCACTATCTCCAACACACCTACTCCCATAACCCCAGTTTCTATCTATCTCATCAGGAGTCTTCCTCTCCTGTGCTGTCCTGTCCTTCCACCCCTCCAAGCATATCCTTCTCCAAGGGCTGATTCCTACTAACTAAGTGCCCAAAATATATGAGACAGAGCATCCAAACCCTTGCCTCCAAGGAGCAATTTGGATTCACTCTCTCCAAAGACAGATCTGTTTGTTCTCTTGTATGTTCAAGACTCTTCTCCAGCACAACTCAAAGGCATTGATTCTTCTTCTGTCATCCTTAGTTATTGTCCAGCTTTCTTCGCAAGTAATTGTGAAGGCCATGGCCTGAATCAAGTGCTCCCTAACCCCTACACTGACATCATTTCTCTTTAACACAATGGGACAGCATATTTTCTAATGCAGTTTGTCTTTTGATTTCCTGACTGTTGGTGCTAAGAGTGTTGACTGTGGATCTGAGCAAGATGTAACTGTTAGCAACCTCAATCTCTTCTCTATTTAGCACAGTACTGCCAAGTGACCCAGTGGTGAGAATCTTTGTCTTCTGGATGTTGAGCTTCAATCCATACTGAAGACTACAGTCCTTGACCTTCTGCAGCAAACGCTTTAGGTCCCCCTCAGTTTCAGCAAGCAAAGTTGTGTCATCAGCACAAAGCAGGTTGTTGATGATTTTCCCCTCCAATCCTGATGCCATCTTCTTTCTCATAAAGTTCAGTCTCCCAAATGATCTGCTCTGTATACAGATTGAAAAGATATGTAGACAGGACACATCCCTGATGCACTCCTTTTCTGATTTGAATGATGTGGTGTTTCCTTGCTCTTTTCTGATGACTGCTTCCTGGCCCAAGTAGAGGCTTCACATTGAGCACAATCAAGGATTCTAGGATTCCCATCTTGCTCAATGCTAGCCACCATTTGTGATCCACACAATCAAATACCTTTGCATAATCAGTGAAACACAGATAGACAGTCCTCTAGTACTCTTTGCTTTCAGCCAGGATCTATCTGACACTGGTGATAAAGTCTCTCATGCCAGATCCTCTTCTAAAAGTGACTTGTATGTTAGGTAGTTCTCTGTCAATGTACTATTCCAGTTATTTTTTATAATCTCCAGCAGGATCTTGCTTGCCTATGATATTATTAATATGGTTTTATGATTTCCATGCTCTGTGGGGCCCCTTTGTTTGGTAATGGGAATAAATATGGATCTCTTCCAGTTGACCAGGGAGCTAGCTGTCCTCCAGTGTTTTTTTTTTTGTTTGTTTTTTGGTTTTTGTTTTTGGGGTTTTTTTGTTGTTTTTTTTTTGCACAACCTAGTGAGCATGTCCAGGGCAGTATCTGCTCATTGAAATATGTCAATTAATATGCTGTCAATTACTGGGGCCTTGTTTTTCGCCAATTCCTTCAGAACAGTCTGAACTTCCTCGTTCATCACCATTGCCTCTTGATCAGATGTTGTTTCATTAAATTCTTCTGTTAGCCAATTCTTTTTGGTACGGTGACTTTGTATAGTCCTTCCATCTTCTTTTCATGCTTTCTAGATCATTCAATATTCTGCCCATAGCATCCTTAAGTATTGTAACTTGAGGCTTGAATTTGTTCTTCAGTTTGTTCAGCTTAAGAAATGCTGAGTGAGCTGGGCCTTTTTTATTTTTCTGCTCCAGACCTTTGCACATTTTGTTATAATACTTTGCTTTGTCTCCCTGAGCTGCCTTTTGAAGCAAAGGGAAGAAATCAAAAAGTTAAGGAGCTGAAGAGAAGAGACTGATTAATTAGATATGGTGAAAGGATACAGCCTGATACACACCTTTCCTTATTTTGAGTCCTGCTATAGCTCCTTGTTCTTTTTGTAACTGTTTCTTGGTTCATGTATGTGTTCCGCATAAGCACAATGAGTTGTTCTAAAATTTTCATTCTTGTCAACATTATCTGAGTTTATTATGATCCACACAATCAAATGAGTTTGCATAGTCAATAAAATACAAGAAAATATCTTTTTAGTATTCTCTGCTTTCAGCTAAGATCCATTAATATCAGTAATGATTTCATGCCTTCATTTTTCATTCTTTATTCCATGTCCTCTTCTGAATCTAATTTTAATTTGTCAGTCCTTGACAAGTATTGCTCCAACCATGTTTTAATTATGTTTAGCAAGATTGTTTCCCTGTATGTGATACTATTGTTCAATAATTTCTGCATGTATTGGATCACATTTTTTTCAGAGGTTATACGTTGCTAAGAGGAGACTGCCCATCTTTTTCCCAGGGAGCCACTAGGAGTAGATTCAATCCACCAGAAAAGCGCTGCCTTTCAGTAGTAGTGCTCCCTACAAACTATATTACTAGTTGTTGTTGTTATGTGCCATCGAGTCGTTTGCGACTCATAGCGACCCTATGTACAACAGCCCTAAACCCTGCTCTATCCTGTGCCAATCGCATTGCCTCTGACACACCCATCCCGATTACCCCAGTCACTGAATCAATCCACCTAATAGAGG